GTAAACTGACTTTCACATGGGGAGAGAAACATGGCAGGGCCCTTTGAGTAACACCTGTCGGTAAGCCATCTACCACCCTTACAGTAACGCTCTGGACAACTCTGGACAATACCACCATGTGGACTCCACCAGGGCTTCTTATGGGAAACAAACCAAACTGCACCATACAATGACTTAAACATTTGATGGATGCAGCAGCAAACCTATCTTAGGAAATACAGACTGAAATTTGAGATCGAGCTTGACTTATTTTCCTAAAACAAAATCAGACTAGATTAGAATGGTGCCCAAACAGAAAAAGCAAAGTCCTAATTGGATAGTCACTAGGAATATGTTGTTCACTGATCAGTCAGATTACAATCAGTCTGCCGAACATAGAAGCAACAGAATGAAAATAACCGGGATGAGTGAGAGGACCATTACCTCCAATGCATGGGCTTCAGGTATTTTTATTTATTTTCTCTTCTAAAATTTATGTTTGAGAAATAAACATAAACAACAACAACAAACTGGCTGAAGGACATTGTTTGCATTCTCTAACAGTAAAATAAAGTAAGAAGAGAATCACACAGTGTTTTTGTTAGCATGCAGGAAAATCTGGCAGAGGATAAACATTTCCCAAACATATGTATCCAGCTTGCTATAATAAGATATTTTCTTATATTTTAAATAATCAAGACCAAGTTTGAAAAAAAAATAGTGAGAAAAAAGTCTCTCAAATGGAAAAGCACCGAATGCTACAATGAACTAAGCCTACTGCTAGAAGAAAGTTCGAGAAAGCTAGCACGATCTGGAAAGGCTAACATTGAAACATGGGTGGGGAGATGTTGGGGATCAAACAGGCAGTAAGTGTTCCGTCCCTGCTCTCAGACAACTACTCCTTTTGTCTTGCTTTCTGGATCGCTGGTTCTCTCCCACGATAGCTCTGTGTGTGTGTGTGTGTGTGTGTGTGTGTGTGTGTGTGTGTTTTGCCAGGGGGTCCTTTGTAGGTGACTATAAATTCTCATGTTACCATCATGGCAGAGTTGAGCCTTAATGATTTTAAGTTGAAGTGATGAAGAGATTCAATATGCCATGGAGAAAAATATCAGAATTTTATGAAAATAAAATGCTAAAAAGCTCTTTCTGATGTCTTGTTAAATGCAAAAAATGTTTCATCTGTTATATTGCCTTCATTCTCAATTCATCTATAATTACATGTACTGGAGACACGGATTAGAGAAACAATTCTGCATCTTTCAGTCCGGTTTCTGTGTGTGTGTTTGTATATATGTTCTGTCTCTGAGTGGTATTAGGAAGGTGCATTGGATGTGATCTGGTGTGAGACAGCATCTGAGGAACCAGTGGCTTCCATAATCACACCTATAGTTTCTGCGGGAACCCTCCCATGGCAGTGCATACATCATCACAAGGTTGACAGCAATCATTCAAGACATTAATTTTCCTGCTAATTTACAATCTGACTTCCTATAACTTCTACCTTAGTTTTGATTTTTATATATAAAAGGTAGGATAACCCTTCAGTCACCACCTTTCCAAGTAACTGAGAATAGCTTTCCCATCCTCCATCAATCTTATTTTTTCCCTATTTAACACATGCTATTTCTCTAATCATTCCTCATATGAAGCCTTCCAGATCATTCACCATCCTATAATTCTCAGATGAATAAGTTCAAGTCAAAGTCCATTGTTCATATTATCATTATCAAATAGGCTCCACTTATTAAGAATATGCCATATCCCAGAAAGTATTCAAATAAATTATTTGCTTTAATCTTCTCAACAACGCCTTTCAAGGCCAGTATTTTCATCCTCACCTTTGTGTTGAGAAAACCTAGGTTCAGAAACTTTAACGAAGTTCCTTGAAACCACACGGGTTACCATTAGCCACCCCGGGTCTGGTAGCTTCAGAGCATTTATCGCGTGTGATTGAAACACAGCCCTGCAGGCATGATCTGTGCAACGCAGGGAACAGGATGGCTGGCTGCCTTCTGCAGACCGAACACTGCACTGCCACAGAAACAGCCTGTGATTACAAACTGGTTTTGACAACTGTATCACACTGCTGGCTCATGATGAGTTCGTAATGAACTTAAGCCTGAAGAGGAGTTTTACCCAAATTGTTACCAAGTCTGAATGCCCCTCTCACATACACTTTTCTACTTTGTACTTAATCTCGTTTATCAGAGTAAAGTTCAAATGTTAGCTTTCCTGCTTTGCTTCAGTGCCCCACACTGTCCATTTCATAATAAAACTGGATTCTCAGACTTGGGGTATTAATCTCTTTAAGTAAGCAATACAGGTTTTAAAGCTCTATATTGCTTAAAAAATAATTGTTCAGCTGTGCCTTCATCCAAGTCTTTGATACAGACTCAATTTCAAGAAGAGCCAGCGCTGAAGCTCACCTTTCCTGGGCAATGCTTTTCCTTCTCTGTTTACCTAGAATGCTCTGTGTATAGCTCACCAGGCAAGCTTTAATTTCCATTGTTTATATCAAAACACAAGAAATACTGTCACATGCTTTTCCTTTTTTTTTCGAGATGGAGTCTTGCTCTGTCACCAGGCTGGAGTGCAGTGGCACGATCTCAGCTGACTGCAACCTCCGACTCCCAGGTTCAAGCAATTCTCCTGCCTCAGCCTCCCGAGTACCTGGGATTACAGGCGCGTACCACCACTTCCGACTAACTTTTGTATTTTTGGTAGATACAGGATTTCACCATGTTGGCCAGGATGGTCTTGATCTCCTGACCTTGTGACCTGCCTGCCTGGGCCTCCCAAAGTGCTGGGATTACAGGCGTGAGCCACTGCGCCTGGCGTAACATGATTTTTCAACTAGCACCTCATTGTCTCCTTGAAAGTCACTCTACTTGATTTATAAGACATTTTTCTTATTCAACCAATCGGTTACAAATAAACCCACTGAACTTTACCATGTCCAAATTTCTCCATCTTCTTCACAAAGATGTCAGTCATGAACACATATTTTCTAATATCAATGTCTGTGGTGAAACTGAAAACATTCTACGGGCAAAAGTTTTTATATCCCAGAAAAAAGTTACTCTTAATCTGTCAAATGTATAAAAATAGTTTATTGTAAAGAAAGTAACTGGCCAAGTTTGCTGTGCCACTCAAAATGTTCAGTGACATTAAAAGAAAGGTAATTATAAAACAAAAATTTTGTAACCACAGTCATTATCTACAATGAATCTGAAGCAGAGATATAAATTAAATTTGACAAAATGTTCAATACTGCTTGTACCTGAGTCAGCCCTAAGGCATTATCCTCTCTGTGTGAAACACCATAAACTTTCTTCTAGACTCTTCCTTAGAAGACTCTGATAGCCAGAACTCAAATACTGCTAGTTTACCCAGTTCATTCTATTATACAAACGCAATCAATAGAAAGACTCTTCTCAAAGTTAAGAGGAAAAGTATCTCGACTTAGATCATTTTTTCCAGAAAATGTATCTATATTGAAAAAATATAGTATCTCTCAAGGTTACAAAAGTCCTGTAGGTTTCATAGTCAAACTCAGCTAGAAGTATATTACTGGAGCTGCCTGCTTCCAGAATTCACATCTAGATGAGTAATTGGACACGTTGGTCTAAGAAATTAAATAAAATCAAAGCCAGAAAAAGGGAAGAAAGAGTTTTGTGCATGGTCCTTGGGGATTCCTGTGGCGGCCCATCAATGTTTACAAGATTACAGCATAACTAAATTTTCTACAAATTGGTATAACAGACTAAATAATGTTGGATGTAAGACTTCATTTTCAAAAAACATAGATTTTTTTCTATGTTCCTGCAATCTGTAAAAATTTAGTAACCTACTTCTCATCCCCATCCTAAATGAATTCAACATGAAATGAATTTGAGTCTTCTGTTACAAGAAAAACATTAGGTGCATGAGTGTATTATACAAACTATAACAGGAATGATATGGGGGTTGGGGAACAGAAGAAGCAGAGTAAATGGGAACATGGGAAATAGGGTGGGCTTAGTATTAGCTGGCATGAGGAACGAGGAAGAGAAATATGTAAGGACACACACGTGTGCACTGACTGTGCTGCCTGGGACAGAGTCTCAGCACAAGCCTGAGGAAGGGTTGGACTGTGGAAGCACACGGTGGGAGGGGCTGGCTTGGAGAAGTGTGATACCTCCCTTCTTTATGACAAGGGCAGGAGCTGGGGGCAGGAAGAATGAACTCTTTGAATGAAGACATCGCATCTGAAATAGAATCACCTTGCTAAAAGTGCATGCCACTCCATCTTGGTGCACACACAGACAGGCTCCTAAAGCCTGCATTCATGCCCTGTGTGAATTTTCCCGGATACTCAGAGAACTCAACAATCAGCCATCTCCGCAGCTCCAGACAGGTTGTGTTCTCATCTGCTAATTTGGTCTTGACAAACATCTCTGACAAAAGGCATTCAACTGGCCTTTCTCTGAGAGGAATCTGTTCTCTTTACCAAGAAGAACAAAAAGTATACCCTTTTCAACTAAAGCTGCAATGCCCACCATGATGTGCATTTTAAAAATTACTCATTCTCTGAGCAAGAAAAGGTCATGGACATTTTCAAATTATCCCACCATCCCTACGTATAGAATTTGTAAGTTTTCTACGAAGTAACAAGTGACTTGGGCATACATTATGCAAAAAAAGATAAAATTCATGTAAATAATAGCTCACAGCCAGGATATTAAAGAAAAGTCTATTTTTAAAGCCTTCTAATTTTTTTTGTTCCTACCATATTGTTGAAGATTTTATCTTTTAAAAAATATAAGATCACATTTTACTTTTGGTTGTAACATTTTGAGACATTGTACATATTTTTAAGAATCTGATCCCGTTAGAGGCTTGGGAATAATTTTATATTTAGAGACTGGGTTTGAGTAATTTTCCAGAGTCCTAGAAAAATGAAGAGGCATCTTGTATATTTTATACCAACATTCACCAGCTTTCAATATCTAGGACAAAAACGTCTTAAGACACACACTTACCTCTACATCACAGGTATACTCTGAGCCATCTAGAAGTATCACTTTGCACTGCATGCTTTTAGGCTTTTTGACAATCTTTAATGGAGACCGAGAGAGTTTACTGCTAGATGATTTCTGAGAAAGTTTATCGTCTTCTAATTGCTGATATTCGAGCTGTTTTGCAGCTCTGACAGCAGATTCCTGTTCCTTGTCAGTGACCTGTGAAGAGCAAACAATCAGCAGTGTTCATTGCAAGATGGGAAATAAATATTGCATTGCTCATGCAATAGCACAGAACTGCTTTCTATTTCACAGAGGACAGAAATTGAATTAGGATATTAGGAATAGACATAAATATACAGATACTTATGATATTTGCCTAAATGCTGTTTGCCATTTAAATGTATTACTAAGGCCTTAATTCATTTTAACCCCAGGATTTACTTTAGAAGCATTGAGTTAGCAAATGCTATCAAAATCTCAACAAGCCAACAATGAATAAGTAATTCTTGACTTTTTAAAAAGCATTAGATAGTACAGCTAAAATATACTGTTTAGATTTCATCTTAAATGTTCTATTTTCTCAATTCACCAGATCCTTCTATACCCCATGACTTGTTATATAACTGTCTCATCCATATATATATAAGATATCTGATAACCTCTAATGTCTGGAGAGTTTCAAGTATTAATTTTTCCAGTAACTATACAACTGTTAAAATATTTGATTTAGCTCTCAATCAATTCAATGAAATCAGCAGAACTGAAATTCATCACAAAGTAATCCCTATGTCTGCTTTCCTTCACTGTAATGAGCCACTGTAAGAACATATCAAATCTGTCCCAATAGCTTTAATCTGCTTTCAAAACACAACAGACTAGTCCAGGCTAGATCTAAAACTGCAGAGGACACTTAAGTAACAGTAACATTCTCCCATAAACCAATCTCTTTGGAAATGTACACACAAATCTTCAACTATTCTCTGTACATCCATCTTCTATCTATTAAATGACCACCAATGGTAGTACTGCAAATTCAATCCTCGGGCCATGCCACCTCTGCTCCTAGTCTGCAAATATGTGCTGACAGTCCAGAGAAAGCTATGTACCAAAATTCTGCTTAGGGCTTTGAAATAAGCATGAAATTTTCTCTCCCGTGAGTATACTATCAGCCTGTTGCTAAAAATTCATGGGCTCAAAGGGTAAAGACAGTATTGATGGTTTATCATTTTAATTTTTCTATTAGCCTCTACAATTTTATAACACTAATATAATTACAAAGGTATTTGAGTATATACATTTTTTTAAATTTTAGGTATAGATTTCTGCTTTATCTTCATTTTCTATCTTGTTTTCCATCCAAAAGATTGCTAATACAGTGCTCTCCTTCAATCCTATCTTGCCCAGGATTTCAAGGTAAAGTCTTGAGAACTTCTTAAGAACTGAGAGAACAATCTGCTGAGCTTGTAAAAACAAAGCAACAAAAAACTGAATAACCAATCATAAAGGCCAAAATAGTTGAAAAAGCAAGTCTTAGCTTAAAAAAGTAAATAAACTAAATAAAACATGCTCTGGCAACTCAGTCCTACTTTTTTAACCAATGTCTTTCCTGTAGCAAAGTATTAAAATAGTGAGTGCAAGATAATCATAAAATCGTCATTAATTTTGCCCATGAGGTAATTTACAGAAAAGTTTGGTAACCTCGGTATTGTATATCAACAACAACAACATATTTATTAAGTGCTTTATAACTTACACAAATTTTGTACATTTAAGTTTTATTTTTATCTCTTCATAGGCAAAGGACATTAGAAACTATTAGTACATATTTAGATTTTGCCTGAAACCAACTTTTTCTGTGTAGCAAGAAAGATAAATTTCACTTTACCTCTACTAAAATAAAAACATCTGTATGAGAATAAGCTTTCTAGGTTACTTTAAATGTCAATTCCAGAGGCATCTTAAGCCAGCAACATTCAAAGGCTAGGCATTGTTTCTGGGAACACTGGAAACATGAACCCATCATTGAGACCCTTACATACTTTTTTTTTTTAAAAACTTTAAAAACTCTAAAATAGTAGACTAAGTCTCTCAAATGAAATGTCAATCACAGTCATATGATGCATCCTAATTTTAAACACTGGATTTTAGCAAATCCTCAATCTCATTTAATCCATAGCTCTATGGTATGGGTATTATTACCCTTCTGTGCATATAAGGAGAGAGAGACACAGGGAGCCTAAGAAACTTCCTCGAGGCATAAATTCAATGGATTTGAATGGAATTCAAATCCAGCCAAACCCACGTTTTAATCACCACTGTGTACCAAAATGTGCTTCATTTTACCTCCAACAGTTGGCTTCCTAGAATAAATCAAAGAATTTTGTGAAAGAATCTTAGAAATTATCTTTTCTGAACTCTTCATTTTGTAGATGAAGCTGAGGCTTGGGGACTTGCATGAGTTCTCTGAGGATGGGAAAATAACGACTAGAAGAGACAGGACTCTGAGGTTTCTGTCTTTTGCAGCAGCCAGTCATTTTTCCCTCTTATTGTCATTTCTCTTGTTTTGTAGCTGACTATAGATGATAAAGAAAGTATATTTAACTATGTCTACATATAAACAGTCATGCTTTTCTACAATTATCTCCCATTTTCATATTATTTCATTTCAGAGTAAACAAAATATGAAGGAAAAACAAAACATTTAGTTTAGTAATTTTAAATGTTTGAAGATTAAAAAAACAAAATAAAAAGAAAGCCAAGCACTACCATCATTTCCTTCACAAAAAGAAAACGTAAAAGGAAACAACGATGGTTACAACAGTTTCTTAGGTTTGTCTCCTAAGCTGGGATGGGATCTCCCCGCTCTCCATCACAATGCATCTGAGATCAGACAGAGCGGTTATTTATAGATTGAAAATAATTGCCACTATTAATATTGTTTAAAGCAGAACTTGCAACTTTCATTTTAAAATGGTTACACGAACCAGCTGGTTTCTTTCCTCCCATCCCTCCACAGAAAACCTAAAACAAATATACAGCACCAAGATTTTCACCAGCAACAACCCAGAACTCATATATATGAGGACAAAACAGATACCGGAGCCAAAAAAAAAAGGAAAACATCCATGCAGACGGTAGAAGAATTGGACTTCCACAGTCATGATGCCCTTCCCTCTGATTCTGCACAGCAATAAACGTGCAGAAAATCTTCCCCCAACTTACAGAAAAGTGAGACTGGAAAAGTGAGACTGAGGTGGCCAACCAGGTTTCCCACCTTCTTGAGCTTCCTTGAAGGAGACCGGTCCTTGCCTTAACCCATGGGAAAGAAGTGATGTGACTGCCTGAAGGAAGAAATATACCTGAGGACAGGTAGAAACAAAGTGGGTGGGACCACCAGCCTCAGTCCTGGACACTCTGCTCTGTAACGTGGCCAAAGGAGATGCCGAATCCAAGTGGTTGTTCAGCAGCACCACGCTGGAGGAAGACATATTCTACAGATGCCCTGGGCACAAATTCCTAGTCAGCCATCCCACATTGCCAGGATAATCCCTTTGGGACTTCCCTCATTCAGAACAAGCAGCACTCCCATCTCTTACTAGAGCCAAGGAAAATCTGGGCTTAAAGACCACCGAGGGCCAAAGAGGTGGCAGAGGACTAGCAGTTAAAAAAAAAGTCTAAGCAAACATATCCAATAAAAAACAAAACAAGCCAGACAGAGAAAACTGGAATTAAAAACTAATCCTTCCATAAAAATCACAGACACCTACCCACAGGAAACAAGAGCAAACAAGAAACTACGACCTCCCCAAAAAGACAAAGTGAAAATCCAGTGACAAACCCTTACAAGATGGTGATTTGTGAGCTAAGAATTCAAAACAACAGTTTTAAGGAAACTCATGAGCTTCAAGATAAAAATGAAAAGCAATAAATATCTAATATTTATTAGATACATCTGATGAAGAGATTGAAATACTTTAAAAAAATCAAAGAGAAATCTCAGAAATACATTTGGTAAACTGAAGAACTCATTAGAGGCTCTTAGCAGAATGAACCAAGCAGAGTAAAGATTCAGTGAGCTCAAAGACCAGCTATTTGAAAAGACACAGAGAAAAAAGAAAAAAGAGCAAAAAGGAGCAAAGACTCCATACAAGATACAGAAAATCATCTAAAAACACTAAACCTTAGAATTATTCATATTCAAGAGGCAGCTAAGCAAGAGCAAGGGGTAGAAAGCATTTTCAAAGAAATAATCACAGAAAACTTTCCAAAACTTGAGAATGATAAATATTCAGTTACAGGAAAGGCTGAGAACATCACACAGATTCAACCTAAATATGAATTCTACAAGGCAATAAACTCTCAAAGCTCAAAGACAAAGAGGGGATCCTAAAAGTAGCAAGATAAAAAGAAACAAATAACATGTAAAGGAGCTCCAATTTGCCTGGTAACAGACTTCTCAACGGAAACCCCACAGAGTGGAGTGACATTTTTAAATTGCTCAAAGAAAAAAAAAATGTCATCTAAGAATATTGCATCCAGCAAAATTATCATTCAAATACAAAGAAGAGATCAAATCCTTCCCAGCAGAATTAGAATCCTTCTAATTCATCACCACTAGACCCATCTTAAAAGAAATGCCAGAGTTCTTCAATCTGAAAGAAAAAAAACCACTAATGTGCAAAAAATAAAAATAATGTATCAAACCCAGTGGTAACATGTTATCAAACCCAGTGGTAAAATTAAGTATATGGATAAATCCAGAATATTCTATCACTGTACTTACTGTACTTGTGGTGTACAATGTACTACTACTACTACTACTACTACTACTACTACTACTACTACTGCTGCTGCTGCTGCTGCTACTACTACTACAACAATCATAACTCTAGTATGAAGCCCAAAAGACAACCTATCAAAAACAATATCTAAAGCAACCTGTTCAGAGATAGGTAATATTAAAATATGTAAATTGAGACAACTAAGTCAAAATGTGATGGGATGGAGTTAAAGTGTGTGTGTGTGCGTGTGTGTATGTGTGTGTGTGTGTGTGTGTGTGTGTGTGTGTTTTAAATTTGTGATCTAAGATAAGCTGTCATTTGTTTAAAATTACTTGTTATGTCTGTAAGATGTTTTTGGTAAGCCTCATGGTAACCACAACACAAAAACCTACAATAGATCCACTAAAAGAAGACCATGTAAAAAAGAACAAGAGG